TTGAACATATTTCTTTATGAATAACTACACTGCAGATCTCTAAAAAAATACTACACTGCAGATAAACGGGTAGAATATGTACAAATAATTATATATAATTGAATAAATAAATAAATAAATATATATATATAATTAAAAAATAATTAATAAAAAATTATTATATTAAATTTTAATACTTTTCTAAATATAAAACCTTGTTAATTTTAAGGACTAATTTAATGGACCATGAACTAAATTGATTAATACTTTATAATTTCAATAATTATTTTATCATACATTTTACTTATTTCGGAACAGAAGGTTAAATTTGACTGTTCATTACGATTTTAAGGAGTAAATTGATTGATAATCTATAATTTTAAGAATTTTTACTTTATTAATTTATAAACTAATTTAACTTATCGTTACATTTTTAGGGACTAAATTAAAAAATAAATCACTCTATTATTATCTTTACGACATATATGTTTTAATTTCATGTTTTTAATATTAGCGGTAACATATATGTTCACCATCCCACTCAAAATAACCTTTTTGTTGCATTGCCATATTGTGCTCACACCTTTGCAATCGAAGTAAGCATCTATTATGTTCAAAGTCTATTATTCGGCCTGTTTTTATTTTTTTCTAAATATAATTATTTTCATATTAAATATATTTATAGTCTTTAGAAAATAAATAAACTTTTTGGTTTTAGTATTTATAAATTATTTATTTTTTTATTTCTCTAAAATTTAGAACTATTATTTTTAATTCATTCTATTATATAATTATTTTTAATTATTATTTATCTATTAAATTATTAAATGGTCATCTCAAGTACTATTACAATTGTTAATGATATTGTCTAGAAAAATTATTGATTATTAAAGCAAAACTTATTGGTTTACCTTCAAATGATTATTTAAGATTAAAAAAATTAACAATTTTAGGTTTTAAAGAGATAAAAGTTAAAAATAAATATTTTATAAAAATCAAAACTAAAATCCATTCATTTTAAATAGATCAAAGTAATGTTTCTCAATTTTAGAAAGATAAAAAAAAAAGTTCTTTATACATAAACCAAAATCAAGATGACCACTAAAGTTAGTCTAGTAGTTAAGTGGGGAGAGATTGGGGTAGTTAAAAGCATGAGGACCTAGGTTTAATCCTCATTGCGATCATCATTGTAATTTTTCCTATCTTTACCAAAAAAAAAAAGATTCCATCATTTTATAAAAACATATTTGAGGCTTCTTTTAACTTAAATATTAATTCATTATTAAGTCAAAGTTAATTTAAATAAACGGTAACATTATATTATGTAATAAAACTATGATACTATTGCTCACATGTCAGAAATATAACATTTTTTACTTTATTTTAAAACTACTAATAAATAATTGTTTTATTATTATTTATTATTATTTTAAAACAGACATAAAGTATTTTTTTCCAGAATAATAGAAATGCAAAATATAAAAATTTACATAAAGTATAAATGTAGTATAAAATCACATGCAAAGTTTAGATTGTCTTGACTAGTCTCATTTAAATTAGAAGTTTTGTTGTTTTTGTTGAAAAAAAATTGTATTTTTCTTAGTAGTGGCACGTATCTATTTAGATTGGATTTGTATTTTTTTATCCGATTAAATTTAATTAGATTGATTTTATTAGATTTCTCTAATTTTGTTTTACAATTGAATTAAACTAATTCAACTATAATTATATCGGATCATTGAATTTATCATATAAAAATAAAAACTTAAAAAATCGAAAGTTGAAAAAAAAAAAACTAATATTATATTCATTCTTATGTAATATGAGTAGTTGTAGAATATAACACTTAATATATATTCGATTACCATACTACACTTAATTTGGGTCGCACAACAAAATTGCAACCTAAGATTTAGGTTTCATGTCGTGTGAATGGGAATTATATATTGTCTCTATAATTAGATATCGATAAATACTAAGCATAAGTACTAAGTACTAAGCATTGCAGTGTCACATAAGTACTAAGCATGCGTCATTTTCACGTTTTTTTATAGCAAAATTGTAAATGTTAATCAAGTTAATATTGTGATTGAAAATAATCAACAGTTTTGCCTGGAATGGACATACGAAATCTTCCATTTTGGATAATTTATTTATTTATTTTCACTTAAACTGGAATAGCAAGTTCAGCAATCTAAATTTTCGTTAAGGTTGGACGTTATAGGAGGATTCTAACTTCTAAGCGGTGAGTGACAATAGCCCAGTGTCCAAGTTAGCCGAACAATATCGTCTAGTAGTGAAGCATGTCATTTTGTTCTACTTTTCGTAATGAAAGTAAAGTATGTGGTTCATTTAAGATATAAAAAAAAGGTTTTACTACACAGATCCTAATCCCTCCATAGAACACAGGTTATTATTATTATTATTATTCATTCTCTTTTTTTCTTTTTAGGGTAAAATAATAGATGTTCATGTAGAAGACACTATCAATCAATTTGATTTATTAGTCTTGTTGAGGATCAACAGTCAACACTGATCCAAATACCACACGCTAATGAGAACTTACCCACTGTGATTAGGATATAGACATGTATCCCTGATTCTTTCATTTTGATTTCACTGCTAAAGCTATTAACACCGATTGATATGCAAATCTACTCTACCAGAACCTGTGAAGACTTGAATGAATTGTTGAAGATTTTTATTGATCACAAACTTCCCATGCACGGTTACTAAAAAAGTAAGTTTGCGAGATTAAAGCATAAAATTCCCATCACACCATTCCTATTTCACTTTTTAGAATGGGTGGTGATCGAATAACTTGATAGATGAAGATTTTTAAATTATATAATACAATAACTTTCTTGAACATAATTTTTCTCTATTAAACCAATCATTTTACAACACATTTCCCCTCTTAAGAAATAGTGTCATTTAATATATATATATATATATATATATATATATATATTTAGAGG